CTTATATTTGAAGATACTGTTCACTTCTTCTGACAAGAAAACCCCAAAGAACTGCAAAGGATGTTCTGATCAACATAAAAGAATACTATATCAAAATGTTTCAATTTCTAAGAACATTTTCTTGCTTTTTGGTTCCCTTCATTGTCTGTACTTTTTTTTTCCAACAACAAACATGCCTGAAGAGGTTTTAGATTCTCTGGAGTCTTCCATGCATGTTTGAGTAAATATGTAATCTCTTGAACTCTCCTCACGGTTAGCTGTAAGATTCTTTGCAATGCTCAGGCCATAAGCTGTTATATATCAGTTCTCCAGAAATATACAAAAGAATGATACAAAACTTTACACAACAACTTGACAAATCTGATGCAATACCCAGGAGTTTCATTGGTGCTCTGAAAGGGAAGTGGAAGGGGAGGGGGGACTTAGGGTCAAAAACGAAAGTGAAACATATAAAACATATTAATGTGTTGTTTTCTGCGAATTTAGCATTTTTAAAACAATAAAAAGTAACTTGGTGATCTAAAAATTTTATGCATAGAAGTAAAATGCCCCCCTTTTACGATAACAATGCAAATGTAATGTGGGTAATAATACAACTAACTCATTTTGAGAAATTTGGAGCAAAACTTTTATTGGTAAAATGGAATAATGACTGCATTAACAGAGTCCAAACAACAAAGCGAATGATTGTTTACAATAATAACAGCATTTAGCACCATCTAGTGTTGTAGATGAACACTTTGATAGATTTTTAATTTGATAAAACTACTACCCCATTGACCCAGTTAAGCTACACTCAATCTCTTTCTTGACACACTTGTCTAAATAGCTTGTTGGATGTGTGCCACAAGTTTAAAATTAGGCATTACAAATGTCCCCAATCCTAAACCTACAGCCTCCAGGCCTGGTCACAATACCCACAACTGGAATTATAGTATTTTAGCAAACCAATTTCTGCAAACCCCATTATAATTTAGACAAGCAATCATTTCAAAGGCACATTTAACAGTTAAGGGGTCATTCTTTTGTCGTTATTGAGTACAAATTGTGAATATCTTATAAAGTTTGTACCAGTAGTCTTACCAGTAGATTCTGAGTACATTGGTTCATAAAAAAGACCCTTTTCACTCTCTTCTTAGATACAGCGGTTTATTCTTGGTAAAAATTAATGGGAGATGAAATGATAAAATTCTAGCCTGAGGTTTTCTTGCTTCTCTGCGTACCTCCATTTTGCAGCTTCCCAGTCTCTCCTCTTATCTGATTCCTAAAGTTTGTCAGTGTGGATGTGTGTCTCCCCAATTTGCATAAGTCTGTGACAGTGACGCAATGGAGGTGTAATGGTACAGGTTTAATGAGAGTCCAGGATCTGAAGCCTGTCTGCGCCTTGTCAATTTAAAATCTAGGAAACAGGGAGAATGTGACTTAGCTCAGTTTTGAAAAGTTGGGGCGATGCAAAAAGTAAATATAAGTGTGGGGTTTGCATTAGTGCATGTGTCTTTCATTGTCAGGTAATTTGATTATAATTCAGAATTTTTAAGGTTGTAGATTATGTAGATGTAGTTTGGCATTACATTAATATTCTGTCTTGTTCTGCATGTTTTTCAAGGTACTGTATTTCTGTGTAATAACAACACCTATAATTGAATAAGTGCATGACAGTCCAAAACAATTCAAAGCAACAACATATCTTTGGAGAGAAGAAGGTGGCAGACCCTCCATCAGAAAAGTTATGTAGTACTCGTTTAAGTGATAATTGTTGAGGATTTTATACACATGATTTGTGGTTAGCCAAACATATGATTCATTTTGCTGTAGTTATTGTGCCTTTTTATTGTGTAGATAATTTCTGATAATGTAAGATCTTTAAACTAATCATTATTATACAGTAGACGTTTCTTGGCACCCATCTGGTGATAGGACTTGATCACATTGTAGAAGCCACTTATGCCTCCAATAGGAAACAACATCTGACATGCAAGTTCAGATAAATTATGTTAATATTTTCACAAATGTGTCTCTACAATCTGGCAGTCTGATTTCTCATTTATGACCATGTGTTGTGCGTTTGATTAGGTCCCATATGTGCTGTGTGATTCTGCGTGGTCTTCTTCTCAACTCAATGCCCTTGTTTGCTTTCTATTTCCCCTTTTGGCCGCTGCCCTGTTTGTGGAGTCAGACGAGAGAGGCAGAGATGAAGCGATGGTATCGACTGGTTGACATTTCCAAAGTTGACAAATGTTGGGCTGAAATAACACAGAATCACCCATGCTTTCTTCCACGCTTTGACTTCATCTAAAACGGTGGAGCCAAACTATTATTGTCAATGCAGGCCTGTGTGGTTGGTTGGACACATAGAAGACAGGAGTCATATTTTTATAGTTAATTCACACGTTTTACTAGGCAAACATGTCCATGGACGTGACAGACCTTTCACCAAAAAAGTTGCATACTACACCATTTAATGCTTATCCTTTTTCTGAAATAATTGTTTTACATGCCATTATTCTAATCTTGATTTTCATTACGTTCACATTTTAGCTTTTTCACTACCTGCACTTTATTGTGTTGGCACTGTCAGATCAATAATGTTATTTCTCGTCTTATCCCGTTTATTACAGGGCACATCAAGTCAGTCTTCATAAGTATACACTATTTCTTTATAGTCTTTTGTGTTTAGCTTTTACATTTGTTGTCAAAGTGTGTTTCTTTAAAACATTAAAAACATAAAAAACATCAACAGTAGTAGTGGTCAGAGTCAGCAGTCAGCTCCACATCTTTGCAAACCCGCCTTGTGAAAGACTGCCATCTTGTGGATTTCACTGAGAATTGACAGTTGTGAAAATGTTGGCCCAACTACAACCTCACATACTCCAAAAAACTACGTCACCCTATTAATGCCTCTTACTCAAAACAGTCCTGCGTGACTGTTATGGCTAGTACTCAAAACAGTTTGTCCAGAGTGGTCCTTATGCATTATGGGAAATAAATTTGGACATAGTCGATGGAACAGCTGCAGCAATCTGCCTTCTGGACACTGATTTTCTCTGCTCCTCACTTCACGCCTCTTTTCAGTCTTGAAATTCAGCCACTTTTTTCTTTTATTTTTGACAAACTTTAATGCTGTCCTGATTTAGTATTTTCCCAGTACACTCACACACAGACACACAATTATCCACATGGGATTCCCCACATGTCTGGAAAAGACATTCCTATGAATATTAGCCCATGGAATTTTAGCTTGGGATAATACAAAAGGTGCAGTAGTAGTAGTTGCAGTAAGTTCGTGTCTTAAATTCAAATGAGTATGTCTAGTTCTTATCTTACTTTACTGACAATACCCTTACTTGTATACAAAATATGTAAGCACTAAAACTAGTATTATACCTACATAATTTATCATAGGACCAGTGATAGTGTCTGCTGCTGTAACCAAGTATCAGTTTTACTTGCAGTTCAACTTTTGACAGTAACTTAAATCCAAATTGTAAGAGGAAGTAACAAGAATCACAGTATCATTATTGCAACCGCCTTAATGGCAGTTACATTGTTAGTAACTTTAAAGGTGCACTCTGTAACTTTTCCAATGGAGAGTTTATTAAGATGTTATAGCTTTGCCTGGGATCTTCCTCAGCATGGCATTTGATTTGTCAATGTGCACGGAGACAGGCAGGTGGCGTCCTCAGGTCAAGTTACTGATTAGATCTGTGGAGAGACAATCACACTAATGGTAAAAATGCATGTTTTCATGGTATTTTTGAGGAGTAAACCATACAGCTGAATAAATGCATAATAGATATGCTCAAAACTTTACTGTGGAACATGCCAGACCAAGAATTAACATCTCTATGGAAACAAGTAAATGGCATAACAGCCATCAGAAATGTTACATAGGACAACTTTAACTTCACCATATTTATCTTAGTGGCATACCATATGAAGTTTAGCATTGTCTCACCCAGTCTATGGTTTGTGCTTTGAACATGTTGGCTAAGTGTACAGTGTAGCAGCAGCAGCTCGCTCCACATCTGGAAACAATAGAGGTCCGATGCTGTCACTTTCTCTTTACCTCAGGCCTTTGAGTCAGCTCTTAAACAAACACTCAATTCACTTTGGTAAATTACAGGAAGGCAATCCGAGCTGCACACTCAGATCTGGGCTCGATTCCTCTCTCTTCACACTGGCGAGAACATGCCAAGATTGGAGATGCAATTTCAGCCCTGCATGCAAACTACAGCTTCATGTAATGTAGGTGTAATTGCGAAACCAAACTGCGTGAATAATTTCAAAGTGATAGCAGGGGTGTGTCCTCTGTGATGGATGGGATGTGATTGGAGGAATTGTAGTGTTTACACAGTGTAATGATGGTTTCCACTGTATGTTCAAAATGGTTTAGTGCTTATAGGTCTTCTATAATTCTGACACAAAGTTTTACAATGCATTATGATGTATGAGTTGAAAGCAGAGGCTAGAGTGGGGCAGATTTGCTGTCTATTGATAATAAAAAATGTTACTTGAATGTATTGTGTATGTAGCTTTCAATAGCCACCACCACCACTGTTACTACTATTACACAGTGCACACAGCATCTCTTCTATTGCTTTTACAAACTTACATATTCACTATAAATTTGTGACAGGAACTATATGGATATGCTCCAGAAGACTACATACATCTTAAAACTACAATGACATATCTAATTTCAGTAGGACTTAGGTAAGGTAATACCTCTACATGTCAACAGGGGGCGTTATTATTCTATGAACTACGCAACGGTTAACATACTCAGGTGACAAAGGAATGCAGATACAAAACAACTTAATAGACGTGTTGATTAGTCATTGTAGTGACACACGCAGTTGTTGTCATAGCATTAAAAATGTTTTATTCTTTCATCATCAAATGATACAAAAGTGTTTAAATAACAGACAAGTTAAAAATAAATTTCCAATATTTGTACATTGATAAATTAACAATCGTCCAAAAGCATTTACAGTCATCTTCAGTGGTTCTCATCATATATAGGCAGTGTAATGTTGAGTATTTGAAGGCACAACTTTGATTGTTTAGACATGTCACTTGAACCTCAGTAGTGAATGGGGCCAAGCATTAAGACTGTTTAAAAGGCAAACTGCATTAGCTCATTTGGGATTTGGTCAGCGCTCTAATTCAATTCTCTTTAACTCAACGTAATGTTTGTTTGACATTGGTAATGTAATAAGTGTGCCATACTAGTCTGAGAAACACTGCTGTTTGGCTTGTCCAGAAACAAGCGCACAATTCACTCATCCTTTTGTAGACAATCCAGTCATGTAGAAAACAGTTGTCTCATAAGAAAACCTACATATGAGTGTCTACAAAATGCGCTAGCAGCCCTTCTGTACTGTTCTACTTTACATTCAAAGAGTTTATTATTATACTACTTCAGATTGTCAGGCAAACTTCCTTTACACAGGACAACATTGCATGGTTTAGTGTGGTCGGATCAATAGTAGGGACTTGATTGTCTATGAACAGAAACATGATGCAGGATTGGAGGATTATACAAACTGTATATGATTGAACTGCAGAGTATTTAGTTTGACCTGTCTGGTCATTTCTGTTTTGAGCCAATATATTGTGTGTAGTGCTTCATACTATACGGTAATGTCTTTTGGCCAGTGATTGTCTAATAACCTCTAATTCTTCGCTGGCCTTGGGGCCTGTGTTTTGAAAAGAGGGCAGAGGGAATAATTTCATTTCCTGGATTTCATGGTTACACACTGTATATACAGTACAAGGCTGCTCGGTGAGTGCACTCAGTGCTGGAAGTTAACAGACATTCTCTGAGTCCGCTAAGGTAAAAAGCACAAACCTACATTTCCCAGATGCCCTAAAGCTTTCACATTTATAGCTCAATAAAAGGCACAGCTGGACTACTCTCCTTAGGGTCACATATATCACTAGTGCATGCATAATGCACATACCCAAGACATTGAAAAGCTTGTGGTTTTTGGTTTCTGAGATAGTGACATTTGGCTCCTTCATCAGGGAATTCTGCTCAAATTTGCTTCATCGCACTGCTGCAAAGTTTACACATTTTTTACAGTTGACTTTCCCTTGCACTTGAAGGCCAACTGGGAGTTTATGACAGATGGTTTTGGGAAATGTCATCCTGTATAATACCTGCACAAGAATCCTCCAGTGTAAAAGTGAAACTTCAGACGACCCGGACTGGGCCTGTGTTCGGCTGTGGAGGTAGACATGGGGCTACAGCACACAGCTGTCTCTGCTCATACTTCCTGTTCAGCCCTTCTGTGGCACTCTTTCCTTTGTTCCTCTCTCTGACCATAGGTCAGGTGAAGAGGCTTGGTGCCCTTCAGTGAACCTGCAGACCTCTGTCAGCGGGTCTGCGCATACACTGCTGATGCAGTAACATCCAGTGGCTTAGAAACCCCTGCCATCTCCTTATTGCATTTGCACATGAGTCTTTTGGCATCTCCAGGGTCTGTTGGCAACACTGAAGCTGGTTCAAAACTCCTCTTCATTCAGTACCGTTTCATACCACTGTCTCGTTTCCTTTGGCGGGTTTAATCCAGCCCTCACCTGGCGCTCTCTTGCCCCCTCTGCTGGCTCGGCTGTCCCTGAGCAGACGGGCAGAGCAGCGCTGCCAGGTGTGCAGAGTCTTTGCTGACCAGATCCACATACCTGATGTGATCCCAACTAGAAGTGACATGAAAATCCGTAGCATCTCTGAAGCTATGTATGAGTCTCTGGGGGTGGAACTGAACTCTGCCCAGTTGGAGAGCTGGTAGAGGTAACAGCCAATCACAGTGGAGGCTGGGACTGTGTAGAGCACAGAAAAGACCCCAATCTTCACCATCAGCCTCTCCAGCTTGTCTGTCTTGGCACCGTCCTTTTGCAGATTGGATCGGATCTTAAAGAGGGCTACCAGGCCAGCACAGATAAACAATGTTCCTATAGGAAAGAACATATCACAAGATCAGTAAATCTCAAAACATGTGTAGAGGAACATGCTGCTTAAGGATTATAATTATACAACATGAGAAATGATGAATTACCAATGAGAAGATAGGTAGCCAGTGGTGCAACAACAAATCCAGTGAGTGCCTCCTGTTGCATGTTTCCCACATAACAGAGTCCAGTGAGGTCGTCTGCATCTACCAGTCGCATTATGAGGATCACTATGGTTTTAACAGCAGGAATGGCCCAGGCTGCAATATGGAAATAGGAACTGTGCATTTCAATTGCTTCATGTCCCCACTTGAGTCCAGCTGCCAAAAACCATGTCAGGGTCAAAATAACCCACCTGCACAGAGCGGCAAAATTTTGGTTTGTTTAATGTTAAAAAAATAAATAAAAATCAGTTCTTAATGTGCCACATTTTGATACTAACCACAATGAGGACGCCATCCCAAAGAAGTAGAGGAGGAGGAAGACTATGGCACAACCAGTGCTCTTCAGGCCTTCTTGCACCAGTATGGGAACAGTTGTGGCATCTAGGTCACAGGAGACACGCTCCCTTCCCAGTGTCAGGCGTACCTGCACAAAAGTACACAAAACATGTGTTAATCTAAGGGCACTAACTGGAAGGTGGTCGCTTTGATTGTAGTAAAGGGCATGTAACTGTAGTTTCCATGGCTCTGTTGTACTAGTGGGCATTTTGTGGTGCTGGTAGAGACTTATGGCTTGGTATGAATGGAATGAATGGGTAATGGGCTAATATAAGTACGTAGAGACTCTCTAAACAATGAACATATTCATGGTTGATTATTGCATTATAAATATTATTTGAGTTCTTACCAAGTAAGCCACGCTGTAGAGGTTGCAACACATGGACAGGAAGATGATTGGCCTTTCCGGGTAGGAGAATCGTTGCGAGTCCAGGAGAAATGTTAAGACGGTCAGGGTAGTTGAGAGGAAGCAGAGCACCGCCCATACTGCCATCCAGGCGTCAGTGAAGACTTTGGCCCCTCTGCGATACAGGCCGCTGTCGTAGCCACACTGCAGAGCACAGCTGTCTGTCTGCTTGAGCCAGATGTATTGGTCGGGCAGTGACCCCAGTGTCTGGCACTCCTCCTCATGAGGCGGGTGGCGCACAGGGTGGTAGGGCGAGTCCTCATCGCCCGGGCCCTCCATACACATGTGGTTGTGGTCGTTCTGAGGCGGGAACAGGCTACAGTTCAGCATCTGAGGGAAAGGAGGGAATATGGTTTTCATTTCACCCAAATAAAAATACATAGACTTTCATGATCACATATGAACTAGTGCTATTACTCATTTGTTTAGCACAGTTACAAAACAGTTCTACACATCAGTCTAGGATGGTTCTCACTGAAAGCAGTCGGAACCAGTGATCTGAGTCTTCTAAGAAATACTTCACATTGATTGGTTGAACAGTACATCAGAACATCAGAACAGAACAGAACATCTCAACAGTAGAGATGAAAGAAAAGCACAGGCATCTTGCCAGTTGCACATTCTCCCTCTTCATGTTTTTCACACACAAAATAGTCTGTATTTCCTCTAAAATGAGCTAATGTGCGTCTGTCGGTTTCGCTATGTTTGTATTGGTTTGTTCGGAACTGGCTTCCGCCCAGCCCAAATCACAAACTCTCTAGCCAGAGCTGCAGGATTCTCAAGAGTTTGTGAACTCACAAAAATTGCAAGAATTAATCTTGCTGGCAAGGATAATATTATAAAAGTTCTATACAGAAATAACATGTAAGTGAAAAGATTTCTACTATAATAATTTTTTTGGTAATATTTACTATTATTATTATTATTATTATCATTGCTTACTCGTCTGGAAAGATTGTCATTAAACACAGAATTACACTTATTTTTTTATGTTATATCTTTGTCTATTTCTTATAAATGATACAATGTGTGAATCTGTGTACAAGTAACAGATTAACAACACATCATAAAAGGGAACTCTTACCTCTGGCCAAATGAAGCCAAACTCATTCAGAACTGGAAGACACTTCCTCTTCACAGACAGACACATGCTTTTACATGGACCAATGGGGATGGGCACTTTGTCTGTGCACATGGGCACATAGACGGAGCACAGGAAGAACTGGGAAGAGAAAAGGACCATGAATGTACAGTCTCGTAATGTCTTCTCTTTATACGACTTGTTGACATCGCATGACCAAGATAAGCTCATGCCATTTAATACTAAACTTATGGACACAATATGACAACCTTTTATCAAATAAAAGAGCTACACTCTTTTGGTGAGGTATATCTTGAGAATTTAAACAAGTGGACATATTTTATTTTTAACTTCTACAATATACTACATTTTTGTAACTTTGCCCAACTTTTACCCATACTAAGTTTGTTTACAATAAAGACAGAAGCTTTTCCTCCAGCATGAAGGAGTCGTGAAAGCAATTTTGAACAATTTTATGCTTTTTCTCAGTTAAGTCAGCATGTCCAGGTGTAAAATTGAGCCAGGGTCAAAAGAGCATCACTGTGCTACTTTCGTGTAAATGGAATTAAGTTCATACTTTGAGATGTTGGGAAAGTTTTAAATGGATTTTTCACTCAACAAATCAGAATTGAGAGACTATTAAATTTGGTTCCAATAATAAATCTAAAATAATAATAAAAATGCATTGGTCTAACTAAGAACAAGGTGCTTCTGGCTCAGAGGCTAGATTCAGTGATAAAGAAATCCCTTTCACAAATCAGAACTTGAACGAGGCCCAAGTGAAACATGAGTCCAAGGAGGGTGTCAAGGTTAAGAAATAAATACACTGGAAAATATGCAGCATGACTTATGTCTGTGAAGTTAGTTTTAGTGAATAGTCTGATGACATAACAACAAAATATATTTTTTCCTTAGACATAAGCTGCAGAAGTCTTAACGCAAAGTGAAATATTAAACTCAGGAACCATTTAACTTAATTTGTTGCTCTTTTTTGTGATCAATATCTGTTTAGCATAACTCTCTCTGGTATGGATCAGGTCTGCTCCTAAGTCATAGGGTTTCTGTTTACAGAGACTCTTGGTTTAAATGGTTTTATTATGTTTTTATGTATTCACAGTCTGTATTTGTTGTGGTCTTAAAGCAGTTCTCAAGTAAAAAGGTTACCATGAAGTAATATAACATGGGGTTTAAGTTGCCTACAACTTAAGACTATTCTTACAGCTATCACAATCTTGACAACCAGTATGCCACTTCTTCTACTACATTTTGTACTGTATATACATTCTTGTACCTGGAATTGCATGATTAAAAGTTTGTCTTATAGTTTTGTAATAAGACTTGTTTCCCAGTGCAAGTGGAGCATGCCCCTGCCATGAGTAATGTAGCACATTCAGGGTATTTTGCGCGACCGTTGGTAATGTGAGTGCTGCCACTTCTCTGCTAAAAGCTGCTCCGGTTACCAGTCAGGAAGCCTCCCATTAGAGCAAATGTTAGGGGATATAGTTTCCCTTTTCCCTTTCCCCCCTCTTTAGCATGCGTGCCTATGTGAGTGCATGTGCGTGTGTGAGAACGAGACAGCCAGCTAATCTTACAGGACAACTTTCAGCTGGACCAGGGCGCTTTGGGTTCGTTGTTCCCCTATGAGCAGATGGCCCTTTTCAAGGCATAATTTCATTGGTGATTTTTAAGAGGCAGATGCAGAAATACAGAAAGTTGTGTCATTCCACTAAAAGATTCTAAGACATGATCTCATTTTTCTTGCATGGTTCATGAGGCAAACAAGCAGCATTTGTCTTAGCGCACTGAGGGCACCATTGTTGGGTCAGTACAGTAAAAGCAAGGTCTGGGGACTCAGCTGTTGCTGTGCGGAGCATGAACTCCGAATATTAACCTACACAGAGGACTTTTTCATTGAAAGAAATGAGCGCAGTGGCACAAGAGGAAGACACCAGACGACTGGATGGGCCCATTTATAACGTTTTAATGCTATGGGAACGAGGTTTCATGCTTGCGTTATCACTGGCACCATCAGTCTGAACCTCCTTCAATAGTCGACTATTGCTGGTAGCTCCCTGTCATGTGCTCCTCTCTCTCAGCCTCACGCAGCCGCTCAAATATAGCCGATAGAGCGCCTCGACTTATCCCTGCCTTTTGAGTCCTGGATCAAGTTCCTCAATCAGGGCGAGTGACGTGCGCGCGTGTGTCTGCGCTTTTAATAACGGAGTTTGGTCTGTTATTTGGACTTTACCTTGAGTTGACTCGAGCAGCCGTACTGGATCAGCGGTGTAAACGTGGTCAACTGCAGTTCAGCGTCCGACTGCAGAACGTTGCCGACCAAGTTGGGCATCTTGGTGACGTTATAGCCCAGACCCTGGCACATGCTGATCCTGATGGGATCACAGGTCATCTCCTCTACATCGTCTCCATAACCCTGCACCACGCCGAGCGGACACAGCAGCGCAGACAAGACGGAGAGGACGGCTGCACGCATGAGCGCTAGCCCGGGCATGGTCACCACAACACAATATTAGTAGCCTATTAAATAAAAGTCCAAGTAAAATACAGTTTACGTTAAGGCAATGCTGAGTGTGTAGTCCACACTGTGCGTAAAGTCCGTGCGCTGGTATGACTATAATATTCCACTCCGCGCCATGTAGTTAATATCAGGTCCAAACAGCAGTCAGAGGGAAAAAAAAATCACTCGTTCACTTTTAACGTCACTGGATGTTATATTCCAATGCGTGTCCGCTGTGCCTTGTTTCACGTTGCGTCCACATGCGACAAGCAGCGGGGAGCTCGGAGCCTACTGCCTGCGAGCGTCCAGCGCTAAACTTTATTGTGTCTGTGAGGAGAGAGTGTTTTGTCCGTCCGGAGGAGAGCTGGCCAATCCGAGTGAGGGAGTAAGGTTTTCCCAACCAACCCGAGGCCAGGAGGCGGGATATCTGCTTCTGCTTCCCAGTGCTGTTGTAATCTTTATCTCACCTTTCTGCTTTCTTGTTTCATATTTATCAACATGTTTACAAACTAATAAGTCACACCAAAGTAATAGAGTTTTTGTATATAGCTTTTCATTGCCCATGTTCTTTATTTTAGCTATATTTAGATTACAGCAGGCATCTTGCATTTACTTTGGCCAGTGTGATTTTGTTCCCACATGTTCTAATTTTATATCAAACTTCCAAGTGGTCCCATACAACAGTTAACTTTAGACATTCACCGCAGGTTCCACTCCCCTGCATTAAGGACCCGTCAGCTTTAAGTGGCCCTGACATTGTAATTGAAAGTAGGGCCCTTAAGTGATGCTGAGGCACTGGAAAAACTGTTTTGCATTGCAATGAAGGCACATACTGGACAGGTTTTGTTTGCTTGGCACCCTGGGAGTGGAGGACTTGTCTTGTGCAGCATGAAACTCACAGTGAAGAGTGCTGCTTTGGATATTTGGGATTTAGAAAGTGAGAATAACGTTTGGTGGAAATGCTTTAGGTGCATATTATTCTGTGACAGTTTAAGCTCCTGCCAGGTACAACTGAGCAGCTCAGTCCAAAAGCAGAAGCCACGCAAGCAAGACAAGTTTAAAGGTTGCCCATCAGAGTAAAAATATCAACAATTTGGATTAAGAGGTAGCATATGCAAGACTTGCTACTTATTCCACATCTTAATCATCAGCAATTGTTTCCAAACACATTAGCCGATTACAAAGAAATAACCATGATCATGTAGATTTGAACTTTAGGATTTGAGGTATAAAACAAATAAGAAACAAAATTAAAATTATGCTTTAAAATGTGTGCCATAAATATTGTAAATACTGTTGGTACCTCACTTTCTTATAACTACATCTTAAATACCCTTATAAAGTATAATGACTTTTTTACAGACATGCAGCCCACCAGCAGAAGAAACAGAATAATGAACATAATTTTATTAAGGCTTAGTAACTCCTTAATTACAGGGTTACGAGTTAGGGTTAAAGTAGTTACAAAGGTAAAGTAGTTACAAATCAGTAAACAATTTGTCTTTCCTCACATTTTATTAAGGCTATTAAAACTAGTTATTAACCATAAACACCAATCACAACATTGGCCTCAAAAGTTACAAGCCAGCATGCACAAACAGTGCATACCAAATTAATATGCTAATTGATATGCTAAGTTGCTAATGACTTAATTTTGAGAACTCAGAAAGGAAAAACAATGAAGGAAATACCTTTGGGCGGTAATGATTCAATCTGGTTCTAGCTAAGGTCAGCTGTTGCATTTAAAACTTAAATGATCTTATTTTGCCTTGAATAGACTTTTGACTTTATGTGAAATCACTGCCGTCATTTATATTTTCCTGCCACTACATCAGAAATATAACATTAAACAACCTCACTACAGTTATCCGACCCCATTGTGTGTCTGTATACTTTCCCTGCTGGCTTACACTGTGATGTTTTTGGCAAATCCACTGTGACAATTGATTGGCAGCAGTGGTGACCTCTCCCACCCACTGACCCCAGCTCCCCTCTACCCTCCTAGACCCCCGCCCCTTTTCCCCTTCACACACACATGCATATGCATTCTCTATACATCCACACACACCCATCGCTGTGCTCCTCTCCACTGCTCTTTGACTGAACCCTGGGTCAGAGCCCGCAGTAATTAGCACTAAGCTGTCACAATAGAGTATGCTCTGCAGCCTCTCTTTATCTGGCCTGTAGTGTGATAAGAACAGGAGGAGTCTGAAATCTATCCAAAACACACATCAACTTCAGATGCAATGTCATTTGACGCTAAAATGACCACACCAATTAATGAATTTGTGTGAAGAATTTTATTTTCATTGGCGACAGAGTGGGAATAGTATTGGGGAGTGAATCGGAGTAGGTGCGGTAAATGGCCCTAACATATTGTATAATGACCGCAAAACCATATAACTATAGAGATAATGATAGTAATTGACTTGCATTGTGGTTAGCCAATTGATATTTACAGCCCCAATATAACAAGTGAGTGGTAAGCAAAAAAGTAGCTGAGGTTTCAGATGATTTATAATGCGGTTATTGACACAGGTATTTCCTATAAAGATTTATGTAGCTCTATTGCATTTGGGACTAAATATTTAGGGAATCATTAACAGAATGCATGAATGGTATCTTTCTCCTGGATTTAGTTTCATTTTTGTTGTTTTTTTTATCAGTATATCCACTCATGAAACTTTCAGAAACTTTTCACATACTGATTCCTCTCTCTGAAATGGAATAAAATTATGATTTTTTCCCCCCAAACTCTTAGAATTCCCCCCAAAAACTGAGCCAAAAACAAGGATGATTAAGATCAAGATGTGATTCAAGGGATCAGGTTAAACATGTCTTTTCAATAACAGACTAATGGAGAAATTATTATTTGTTTGTGCAGATGTGCAGATTTAGAAATTTGGCAAAATGTAGGACCAGAGATAACGGCTGGGGCCACTATACTGCAAGAAACACATACCAAGTTTTTATGCTATATACCATAGTCATGTCAATTTAGACTTAATAGATAGAGCATTAATCCTTTTCTAGTTAAAGGTGCACTGTGTAGCTTTTCTTTATTTGCCACCTGCCTGTCATGTTATGGCTTTGCAAAGAATGTTCCACAAAATGGCATTATCCTGCATTTATTCATTACAGTTGTTTTTATTGCTAAAGAACTTGCAGTCTTACTCACCATCGATGATACCTGCAACTTGTCTGAGATAAATAGGTTTAATGGCATACTGTGGAATATTCAACGCAAGCAACAACATTTCCCTAAAAACAAGCCGGTAACAGATTCTCTACCAGGGCAGTTTGTCGTGCATCTTTAAGTTATGGTTGACAATGTTAAATAAGCATAAAGTCTATACTGTTGTCTCTGTGCAAGTCTTGCTACAATACCTAAATTTTGAACTCAATTTTGATACTAAGGAATGGACCTGAATACTAATTCTGATTCTGCAATAATAAAAACAGTGTAGTAGTTTCTTTTATGTTACCATGTGGCCTTATGTGTATCCCGCAGTCATCCAGGAATGTTTCATAGTGGTCCCTGGTGGTATACTAAACTCAAGATCATTCTAAAGCTATTCAGGAAAGGTTCATTTCTGTCCCGTGAATGTGACTATTTTGGTATCGATACTTAAATGAGTCTTGATACTACTTTTACTATCAATTAGTATCTGATTTTTGATACTTTTGACAACCATGTTCTGTAAAAAGCTGTACATAACAAAATGTTGGCTCTATAGTATGCAAAAGGTGCATTGTGTAACTTTTCTATCACCATGAAGACCAAACCAGACCAAGTTACAGGTCAGATCTGTGGAGAGGCAACCCCGCTCACAGTCAGAATGCCTGTTTTTCTAGGTATTTAACCTATAAAACCACTTGTAATTGAATAAATGTAAGGTAGAGCTGTTTAATGTCATACTGTGGAACATTCAAAGCAGAGCAAAGACATATCCATAGAAACACGGTGACGGACCCACAACCGAAAAGTTACACATTGCACCTTTGAGCAAAACACCACATTTTAACCAAATCAATCATTGACTTCAGTGTGACAAGGTAAATATGTCCTGGCAAAACCTCGCATGAATACAGTAATTAAGATAGCACTTTGTTGAGAGGAGTGCTTTGGAATCTGTGTTGTGCTTGTCAGTGATGGTAGCACTCTGACAAGTTTCCTGATAAAATGATGCAGTGTATTCCCTTATCAGTTCCACATATTTCTGTAGTTCTGATGTAACTTACAGTTGCCAACAATTTTTACTATGTGTTACCTACTTTGGCTTCATATGCTACACAAATCAAGCATTGCAGCCAGTTGCCATTATTAATTCAGCCTGTATTTGAATAAGCTTGGCATTGATCCATTGGGACCGATTTGCACTGTTGTAGGCCAAGCAAAAATAGTCATGGCTTTCTAATTATCTATGCCAGAGACTTTCCTCCCACACAGCGTTCATGTGATTCAGAACAGAAATGGACTGATGGCTTAGTTTTCCCTTACCAAATTGCCCACTCTTACTAACATTTTGATGGTTTAATGCTTTGGAGCTCTGCGTTTGGAAACACACTACATCATGTGCACTGGCCTCAGATCAAATGACCCAGCTGTCTTTCTCTAGTATGGCGATGATGGTTAAAGTAGTTACTGGAGTGGTAATCAAAGGTGGTTGCAACATAAGTATTTTTTTTTAACACTAGATATTTTGAGAATAAAAAATGTGTTTTGAATTGTAAGGACTTTACATGTTGTTTTTGTATTGTTGCAGACATTCTGCTCTGCATTTGACCCATCCATTTAACCTGTAACTGAACCTGTGCCTGGGATTCAGAACACAAACTTGATGTGAGTTGTGAGTCTGGTCACCGGTGAAACTCCCGGAGTTGACAGATGGATTAACCAATCAGGGACATACCTGGTCTGCCTGTATCAAAACAAATATGGCTGCTTAAAAGGAAAAAAGAAAGAAAAAGAATATCAGAAGGGACTGAAAAACCTTGTAGATTTTGGCCAAATCTGAGGTGAGAGAAACATTTTATTCAAAGTGATAGGTGACCAGTGAGCGTCATTGTTTCAAATGCATCGCTGCAAGAAAGCAACAAAAACAAATCTGACTTCCTGATCATGTTTGTTTCTGGCTTGAGGCGCAACAGAGGGCATGGGGACCAGGCATCCCTCTGTGTAAATAATACACAGAGATATCATTCTGGATTTGCCAGGCAAGGTGACTGACACAGTGTAGTGCCCAGAGGCCCAGAAGCAACACAAAGTGGTGGTAGTAGATGTTGTGACAAAGTCATTTAAGCAACTGCTATTAGAAATTCCCAA